GGGTTAAGTTCTAGGGATATGACAATTTTTGCTTCAAAATTGAAGAAATTTCCAAACACCCCTTAATGTTTCTTGTTTAATCTTTGCTTAATTTTCAAAATATCCTAACAAGATTTAACTCCGACGCCGAAAATCGAAATTGTGAATCGAATCGTTTCTTGTTTGTGGGTGAATTCTTTGAAGAAATATTTAGAACAAAGGCATTAACTATGTGTGTTTTTATAATCAACTAAAAGAATTGATTCAACGATAACATATTTGTAGATTAACTTCGAAATGATGAAACATATTTGGCCTGTTCGGGTTCTAACTTCCGTTAAGAAGATCGTGGGCCTCTATAACTGCCCCTTGTGAATGATCATTTTTGCTTCTTAATTTTGATCGTCAATCTCACCACGCTTTAACCCTGGTCGAAAACACGTTTTCTTTCTCTGTAAGGGACTAACTCAAACTTCGAGTGTCAGTTAATACGATTATGCATTCTATCATAACCTTCTATAAGTCAGTAATGCCACAGATGGAACAGAAGGACCAACTCAAACTTTAAGTGATGGTTATCATGATCTAATATCTGGTTATATCTTTCTATAATTTATGTGCTAAATGTCGATCGGACTCATTCAATATTCCTTTTCCGATAGTCATGAATATCTCAGTCGACATCCTGTTGATTATATGTTTTAACTATTTTTCGTTTGAAGCTCCTTCCGTATTCCCATTTCGATAAATAATTTTAAATTTTGCATTTATGATAAAACCTCCCTAAAAATGAAAAAAAAAATGAAAAAAAAATGAAAAATATTGGCCCATTTATTTGTTTCCTCATACGGGCCAACATAGAGGAATTGACAGGATTAGAAGGCCCATTCCTTTGATGGGTTATATCGTAAATTTTATGATCCAACAATTAGCTTATCAATTAGTTTGTGAAACAAAATCTTATTAAGGGGTGTTTGAGATTCCTTATTTTAGGTGTTTTTTGATTTATTTCAGTCTGACATCGGTGATAAGCTAAATGCTCACCGGTGTCAGACTGAAATAAATCAAAAAAACACCTAAAATAAGCAATCCAAAGGTAATAAGCAGTTTTTGATAAGTTAATTCTTCCTAACTTAAGAAAAACTGCTTATTACCAGTTTACCATTTTAACCCTGTTTTATTAATATTTGTTAATTATTAATCTTATTGATATAAATTTTTGTCAAAATATTATTATAAATGATGAAAAATAAATCTTTACATGTTAAAAAATCAAATAAGTTAATAAGCAATCCCGAACACTCCCATAAGTCAATAATATGGAAGACTGTCCTTTTTGATCATTTTATATATATAAGCAAAATTTGTCAAACACTAAAAAACAACTTATCAGCTTACTGTCTTTTGGTATTGCTATAAGCTAATCCAAACACCTTTTTTTACAAAACTCCGATTTGATACCACATAAGTTAATAAACACTTTTATAAAAAAAAGTTGTTTTAAATAAGCAATCTCAAACACCTCCTTAATAGATAGATCTGTTATTCGGTAATCTAAAAAGTGATATCGTAACTATATCTGTTTGCAATGCTTGTTAGTTATCTTAATATGGTCGCAAAATGTAAATTCGTTCAAATTCCAATCGGTAGTTTTCCTACTAGTTGGTTTCTAGATTCGCAACCTACTTAGTTTTGGTTGCAAACCAGCGACGAACCCATAAATTTTTCCATACGATGACACTATATAAAATGGTTGCACCGTCTAAAATAATATGGCTGTACCTTTCACGAACCTATCTTTTTCACCTTACAACAGAGGGATTTACCGGTGGCACGTGACAGCATAGGTTGGAAAAGAAATCATACTGGTCGGAAAAGTGATCACCCTTACACAAATATATATTCAAAAGGAAAATTGCATTTGCTTTATGTACATGAAATATATCGCCGAATGTTTCATGACGTTCCTGCAATCAATCGACCTTTTAAGAATTACCTACTACATAAATAAACTCAATCTTCGTGACCTAAGATTGACGGATAGGTAAATTTTACACGAACACTAATTAAATACTTCGTTGGTCATGAACTCCTTGAGCATCGAATAGAACATCGAGCTTAGGTATAATTAAAACGAAGTAAAGCATTCGTGTTCTGATGAATTCGAGTCATCACAAGGCGAGTGGTTGTGTCGACCTTCATATGTCGTGATCACCATTCTACAGTCTTCTGATAATCTTTCTACCCTTTTCTTCACTCGACAATTGGTATGTGTACAACGATAGTAACTTCTGCTAGTTCATGATAAACAAAACAACAAGAATTAGTTAAAAAAATTAAAATAAACACAAAAAGTATATATGATTATCGTGTTTTAATAGATCGATCGTCCTCAGATGTTGTCATATCTTTGATTATTTTCGTGACCAAAATATGTTGTCGTATCTCACGTTTTAAAAATATCGTCGTCACATCTTACATTTGCAATTTACCCAATATATTTTCAACTGTTTAATTCTGATTTTTTAGATCTTGAAAAAGTATTATTCGCTAATATATATGATAAGAAATCACCTTTGGTGCAATTGTACTTGACAATTTGTATTAAATTAACTATCGTTATTGAAAATAATCTGAACACATGGGTAAAAAATCACCGAGAGACACTATAATAAAATCGAGTTTATAGGACACTCCCAAATTCTAAGTATCATAATAGATTTCTTTATAGGACTTAGTTTATAGGACCAAAAAAATAAAGTGTCAAATCTAAAGGTGTTGCAATAAGTTTATATGACGTTTTTTGACGTCGTAATAAGTTTTTTAAGACACTTTTAATATAAAGCGTCTCATTATCAATTTTATATGACACTATTTGAAAAATTGTCCTATAAAAAATTGAGTTTATAGGACACTTTCTCAAAAGTGTCCTATAAAGTTGCTAATGCGATACTTTGTATTAAAAATATCCTAAAAAAACTTGTTAAGACGCCCAAAAGCGTCATATAAACTTATTACAACATATTTAGATATGACACTTTATATTTTGATCCTATAAATTAAGTCCAATAAAACGGTCTATTGGGACGCTTAGATATTGGGGATGTCCTATAAACCCCGTTTTGTAGTAGTGAGAAATTTTCGTCGGTGATTTCCGATAGATCACCCAAAAAAATACTAATGATTCGAAAAAATCCGATATTTTTCAAGAAAATACCCACGAATCATCCAAAAATATGTGAGTAACCTGTTTGTATCTCCAGCTAACAATTTACCCACCAACTTTTATGACAAGTCACCCCTTTAACAACGGATTTCCTAGAAACACATCCATAGAAAAAGTCTTCCGTTTAGCATTGACAAAACCCTATACTTGCATCAGTAACCACATATTTCTTTGCCCAGAGTTTGCGGTTATTGTTTTTTGGGTTTTTTCACTACGATAATACTGAAAGTGTTGGATACAAGATTGAAACAGATACAGAGAACACTAAAGGTACTTTTTATATACAACAAACATGATCAAAGAACAACCCTTTATCTTGAAAAGGAAGTGAACATAGATGCAATCATGATATTGTTTTGAAGCAAAAGAGGGTTAGATTTGAACCCCTTTTCATGTCCAAAAAAGAAACCCCTTTTAGCTTTTAAATCTTACCAACTTATAAAAGGCACTGCATTTGCATCATTAGATATTTCCAAGTGAAGAAACCTTGAAATTGCTACATTTTCAAGTTCACCAATCAAAGAAAATGATGCCCTTTTGGATTGTGCAAATAAATCAAGGTTTAATGAGTAGAGTGATGAATATTGGCTTCCAATGAAGGCAACTAACCTTAGCTAAAAGCAGATAAAAGGGATTTTAACCCGTAAAACATCAGTGAAAACATCTACGAGTCGCTTCCTAAATGTTAGTTCAAAAACTCGAAGGTGATTAAGACATCTAAACATGTTGAACTATAAGTTATCTTTCAAGACATGTTGCTATAATAAAATCAGGTTAATAGGGATGTAAAAAATGTCTAAGAGCATCTTGAACAGATAGAAAAATGAGAGAGAAGTTAAAAATCTCCAAATTTGATGAAAATCTCTAAGACTCCAGATAAATCTATGCAATATTATAAAGTATTTGACAAAAACTATTAAAAATCGTTTTTTATGCATGAAGTACTATTTATTTATGCATATTACTTAAAATTCAAGATTACAAGTAATTTTGGGTAAGTACAACTTATTAAAGCTCTATTTTTAAATTCGTGTAATTAACTGCAGATAAACATAATAAGATATAAGATAAACATTACCTTTATAGAAAAATATATTATTAAACCAAAAAAAAAATTACTTTGTTAAATCTAAATTAAATTATAACAAAAATTGAATTAAAGAAGTTATACAAAAAAAAAACGAAAACTATTAAATAGTTAATTTGATACTAATATCGATTTTTTTTTTCAAAATTTTATGTTATCTTCAAATTTATATCTCATTCAAAAATAAAAAGATTAGCGCTTTCTCAAAACCATATAAAATCGTATTATATCAATAGAGACAAACAATAAAAATTAAACATTAAAATGAAGATTTATTTCACCGCATTATGCGAGTACTTTTCTAGTAATATTTTAATCTTTTTCCACAAATAAGAAATATTGAAAATAAAAATTTATGAGAAATGAATAATATTTTATTGAATGTATTTTTTAATAATATAATTAATAACAGAATTGCTAAAATAGAATAGTTGTTAAAGTTGGATGTAATTTCTCTTAGATATTTCGACTTTTGACACTCTATTTTAGAAAAAAAAAAAAAAACATAACATAGTTGTCTGAGATGCTCCAAATGTTCTAAACAGATTATTTTAATTAAATTTATAGGATCAAACAATTGTGTGTCTTTTTAAAAGCGTTGCAAATAAATATGTAGGACGGGCCTGAACGTTTTAACAAGCTTTTATGACACTTTAAAAATAAATGTCTCATGAACGTTATCATTTTATAGGACACTTGTTCATTTAATATCATATAAAAAAAAAACAATAGAACTTTTATCTAAAAAGTATCATAAAAACTTGTTAAGATGTCTAAAAACGTTTTATAAACTTATTGCAACAACTTTACATAGCATGCACAAATTGTTAGCTAGGTCCTATAACCTTAAATCCTAATAAAGCAGTTTATTATGACATTTAGATATTTTTTAACATCCTATAAACTCGATTTTATTATAATACGTGAACCCACATCCATTGGATGAAAGAGAAGGATGCAGTTAAACCAACAAGACATGGTCAAAAACAAGAAAGCCATCAAAGAACTGTAACTTGCCAAATCACATACATTGCACCCACACAGAAAACGCAATGTTTTGACCTCATGGCCCATTGAAGATGGAGTCATGATGATGAGATTGATGATGTCAAAATTTTCATAAAAATCCCGTACGTGTCGTAAATTCTCGCGTCCCATTTTTATCCACCAATCATATCAATACGCATTATCAAAGAAAAATATGAACTTAATTTCAATAAGTTTTAAAGTATAAAAATCTGATGTTTTAATTTCATCCGTGAAGTATGGATGAGACGTGAAATTTTAAGACATGAAAAGGGGATTACAATTAGACGATGATAATTGAATAAGAGAAGTGAAAAAAGTCTAATCCGTAATAATTTTAATGGCCTAAGACATGGTCATGTATGCATATAGATACATACATATATATATATATATATATATGTATGTATATATATATATGTATATAATCCCATGCATTATTCGTATTCAATAGTATATATTAAGGGGTAGGCTAAATGTTTGAAAGAAGTATGGTAAATGACCATGAGTTACCATATAAAGATATATGCTAATTACATACGGTAAAAAAAGAAGTTAAGTGAAAAGGTTTTAAAGCTCGTTGGAGACACTCGATCTTAAGCGTTCGTTACGAAGGCCGGACCCCTTCATAAGCGAATGCGATACATTAACCCAGGTGCTATATATAAATACGCTCCTAGAACCTAATCTTGTCGAGAAAAATAATACCTACTTATAAATAAAGACCAAGATTTTGTCTGTTCGACTTTATTCTTGAGCAATAATTAATTAGAGTGCATTCCGTTTCTCTTTATGCTTAGAAATCGTATCCGGACAATACAATTTTTGTAAGTCGATTTGTTCTTTTAATTTTTACGGTTGTAGCGATCATTATTAGTTAAGCCATCACTTTCGCTCTTCTATTCGTGTAAACTTTGTTAATTAGCTTCTTTCAAATATGTAGAAGGACAAAATTAACCTTGCTTGCTTCCCATTTTGATATATAATTGATTTTCGTCTTATATTCAGTCGAAACGATATAATTATGGATCGATACTAATCTAAAAGACCCAAAAAACCGCACTTAACAAATCGAACTTTTGACAACAACAACTTGTTAATTATGTAGTGATTTTTACATGATTAACTTGTTAATTATGAACTTAACAACAACTAATTAATAATGGATATATAACCATGCTGATAATTAATCGATTAATATACCAAGATGTCTTAATTGGGTAAGTCGAGATCTATTTGAAATTAAGCTCTAATTAAGAACTAGAAAAGGTAGAATGGAGATGAAGTACCTGGGGTGAAGGCTATTCTTGACAACTTTCTGGCCATATTTCCTCCATTTGTAACCATCATCAAGAACATCAACATCACTCCTTGTCTGAAAACAGAATCTTGGTTCTCTCAGCTTTCTTCTCATTTTCATCCTCCCCTTTTCAGGGTTTGATGAACTCCTCCACCTTCCCATTCAAATCAATGAAATAAGTGAACTTTTTTCTGTTTGTGTGTGTGTGTGTGTGTACACATAGGGAGCTCTATATTGGTTAGTTTGGTGGCCATGGTTCATGAATACACAGATGGATTTATATATGTATGTCATCATTAGGCCTGAAGATTCCTGTTCTTCCCCAAATCACATACTGACAACATACAAAGAGATTGAGAGATGCTTTAAAGTTTGCTTTATGTAGAAATCTCTTCCATATATGTAGCTAGATCTTGTTAGAATCTGACTGGGGAAGCACCAAGAGAAGCTTCTCTCTCTCTCTATCTAAACCCTCTCTCTCACACACACAAACACACAGTAGAGTGAAAAACAACTCCCATCTCATAATTTCCTTTTAGAAAAACCAAGAGGAATCCACACCCCCAAGAAAGTTAAAAAAAAGTTCTTCTGTAACGTACCTCTAATAATTTACCAAGTAATATCCAAACATGAATTTGAATTCACGAGTTTTCATTAGGTTTTCTAGGTTACTCGCCCCACCACACGTGAATCTAATATATATATATATATATATATATCACACCTATTATACAGCTTTGAAACCACACCTATATCGTAATTAAGTACTTCCTTCATGATTTGATGCTTGCAAATAAGAGCCAAAGTCACATATGAACCCTAACTGTGGGTTGAAATGAGTAGAAAGTGCAGTTTCTTGAAACCCGTGATTACTTTCTTAGGTTAAAACCCTAATTATACGATCATAATACAAAAGTGTTGAAAGTTAATAAAAAATAAACAAGATTAGGTGAAGAGATGGATGAATACCATGAATTATGATCATCTGTGCATTTTTCTTCATTAACAGACTTTGGATCCAAGCTTCCCACCTATATATATGTATCAATAAAAAGATTTCATACAATCTTTGTGCCATATAATTGAAAATATGATCAAAAAGTAGAAAGAGAAACAATTTTCTTGAAAAATGTTACAGTTAACAAGAAAAGGATGATCAAGCAGCTAAAGAAATTAAACACCCTGATCATATGATGGGATTCTACCTGTTCTTTATGCCAAGAATCTCTATGAACCATATGGGCATCGCTATTGAAATTACCAGCAGCTGTGGTGGAGGTGGTGGTGGTGGTGGTGGCGGCGGTGTGCAAAGGTGGTTGAGATAACTGTGGAAGAGATAGAGTTGGAGGTAGGAACCTCAAAACCTGGCTTTGATGATGATGGTGATCTTGAAAATGGGGAAAACCCATATGATCATGGATGGGATTCGAGAAGGAATTAACTTGAAGATCAAAGCTGGCTAACCCTCTTTCAGATCCTTCCATGATTCTTGATGACCAAAACTTGTACAACTTTTCCTGTTCTTCTACTACTATACCACTACTACTACTACTCCTTGAACTTGTTGTTCTTGCTAGTGGGGTTTGTATTTGTAGTGCATGTGTCCGTACACGTGCTTGTGGATGTGGGTGTTGGGGGTGGGGGTTAGTGGTGTATTTCTTCTTCACATATGGGGGGTTGGGGCCATTGGGGCTATGAAAAACATGTTTTCATGGGTCAACATGTAAACACTAGATGGAATGGAATGAAATGGAATGTTTGGGAAACAGATTATTCCTTTCTTCTATTCTCATTTTATTTTCCATTTCTTTGTGTTTATGTCCACATAACTTGATATCATTGTTTTAATTTTGTCTTCTTCTAACATATAATTATTCTATTTCAAAATAAATTAATATATATATATATATATATATATGATAAGTAATTTAGAACATCTATACTATATTATAAAACATTTGACAAAAACTCTTAAAAACCACTTTTTATGCATAAATTACTGTTTATTAATGCATGTTACTTAAAACTCAAGATTACAAGTATATTATGCGTAAGTACAACTTACTAAAGTTCTATATCTAAATTCATGTAACGCAAATAAACATAATCAAATACATGATAAACATCTCATTTTAAATATAAAAATCTAAAATATAATTAAGATAATATCATTGAGTTCTAACAAAATACTTAATTATTATATTTATAAAATGTTATATTATTAAACTAAAAATAAATTATTTCATTATTAAATTTAAACTAAATTATAATATATAAAAAATTAAAGAAATTACATAAAAAATGAGAACTTTTAATTAGTTGATTTAATATTAACATTTATATATATATTTTTTTCAAATTTTTATATATCATCAAATTTATATTTTATTCAAAAATAAAATCATTATTGCTTTCTTAAAAACACATAAAATCGTATTGTAACATCGACAGAGACAAACAATAAATAAAACATTAAAATCGAGATGTGTTTCGCTGCATTGCACGAGTTTCCTTCCAGTAGTAAATAATATATTTTGATTATTAATTAAATTATTAAGTTATATATATATATATATATATATAATAAAATTAAAAAGTATGTATTAGAAAATTTTAAATTCAGCGACTTTTTTCTTTAATATAATTCTTAAAACGTGATTTATTTTTGGTGATGAATATTTTTAAACCATGAAAAAAAATTGATGACAAATTTACAACTTTATGACTGATTTTATAACATGACTTTACACATTTTGATTACAACAAATTAATAAATTATAAATCTTTTTTATGTGAATAATATTTTTATTTATTGTCTAACAATAAACCGTAACCTATGGATAGTTTTATGTCAACGTTTTTTCATTTGATAACTTTCCTCGACAAGATTCAAGACATGACTAATACTTGTAGCAATGACGGTAGTATCCCGGAGATATATTTTGTGATCCATAACTTCCTATGCAATACATTAGCTGCAACTAGATGTATATCTATCAAACTATATATGTCCTTATTCAAATTAAAAATTACGGGACGACACTCACCACACAAACAGGCACATGCCCATAAATAACTTCAACACGGAACACACATCTATATCTCAACTTTAGCAAAGTCAAACTTGAAACTCACTTTGGTCCCACGTTTTACCGCTACTTTGAGAATTTGATATAAACCACACTTTGAGATATTCTTGATAGTCCAACAGATATGTTGTTTAACAACTTTTACCTTTAAACTCATTATAGAACAACCTACTGCATAAAGCAAGTCATTGTGCCAAATACAAAACTAGACAACATGGCTCATAATAACACATGTTGTGTTAGAAATTGGGATATAGAGATGATAAAAGGACAGGGATAATCTCAAACGATCGTGTGTAGAACCTTGTTGGGTTCATGAATTTAGTATCGGGAAAATCCTTTAGAATTTATCAATCTTCAAAGGCTGTGAAAATAAAGATTATATATATCCCAGATTCTTAAATTACTTATTTACATGAGAAATCGACAGTTATAGGCGGTTATAACCGTTTATGGTTAAAATTGACAAGCAGTTACAACCGTAGTTCCAGGCCGAACTCTGACTCCAAGTCTAAGTCTGGGTGCACTACAGTTTAGAGTGTTAGACTTAGCCAATTTTCTAACTATGGATGTGAAGACTCGAACTCTGAATCTGCAGTTCAGAGTTTCAAACTTAATTAGTCAATTTTCCAAACCATTAGTCTAGACGCAAAGTCGAGATCTCTGATTCTATGGTCCAGAGTTAAGGACTTGGTCAATTTCCTAAGTTTGGGTGTGCATACCTTAAGTTTGATTGCATAGTCTAGACTTTAGAATTTGCCAATTTTCAAGGTAATTTCAGAACTATGATCAGAAGGACCATATCTCTGATTACTCTACCTAGACTTCAAGGATCAGATCTAGGACCACCGCTAAGGGGCTCTGCCCCTTGGAACCCCGCTAAGCGCGTCGCCCTTTGACCCCCGCCTTGTAGATATCTAAAAAGATAGGGGAAAATTTTGTGAGTGTGCACTCTGCACCTCTAACTCACTTATGTTTGCCTTATCACTCTAATCGATCTCGAGTGAATCAGAATCACACCAAAATGATTGATGACACTAAAATCATCAACACGCTCGCATATAACTACACTTTAACGACGTATCAAAGACATCTTTTGTAACCAAAGTCATTGGTTTATATGTAACACCTCAAATTTGGACAGAACGATGTTTTAGGTCTTCGATAAAATATCAAATAAGGAAGAAACTCCTTTCTAAATGTCAACATTTGACTACCTATAATGCTATATAAGATTTAACATCAACAAATATAATTCAAACTATACACGAATTCTCGATTAGAGATGACTGTTACTAAAAGCCATTAACTGTCACTATATCCAAGTTACGAAAGACATCCCCAAATACCTAATTCTTTCTCGTGTCTCTAACTAGCACTCAGTTTTTCATAGTGTTGCTAGTACTATTCTCCAACAAGGACCTGATACATATGCCAACAAGAAAAAAAAAATATTAGACTTAAAGTCTAATGAGTTCAAACAGTTTTTATCATTAATATGAAAACAGTAAATTGAAATGATACTATTTAAATCACTATTTCCAAAATGAAATGTATTTTTTTATAAAAAGTAACATCTTTCCTAAAACCACCATTTTCGTATGAAAACTCATTAATCGAAACACTCATTTAACATGAAACCAAAATCCAATACTTACACAAATAACGGATAAGTAGGGTGTGCAGAAAGTACTCGATCCAATTTAAAACGACCAATCCAATTACAACCGACCGAACATAATCGGATAATCAATTGTAATTGGATTGGATAAAAAATTTCTATATCCAGATTGGATTGGTCAGTTCTTGGATGACAGTCCAGAATCCAATAAAATTGAACCGATCCAATCCAATTACTATCCAACTACTCATTCAATTACCATCCAATTAATAACTATATATATTTATTAACATTTTATGATATTGTTTTTAATTGATAGTTATACCTAGTGGTTTCTAATAAATTAACAAGATATATGAATTTTTTAGTTGAAATGGTTGAAAATTGTATCAAACTGTTAGATGGATCTAATTGGAGGATCTAATTTAATCCAATGAATAACCAATAATAATATCTAATGGATGGAACAGATCTGATATACTCATCTATTGGATTTGATTGGATCAGATGTTCAATGTTAATTGGATTGGATTTAATGACAAAATCCAATATCCATTGGATGATTGGATCGAATCGAATCCACCTAAATCCATTGGATTGTAACCGATGAATACCCCTATGAATCAGGTTTTATACTCAAAATACTGAAACATGGATAAACTCTGTTATCCAATAAACGAAAATGGATACTTCCAATATATCAAACTATAAATTATGGATATACTTAATACCCAAAATAACATCTAAAACATGGATAATACATTATCCAAAAATGACATCTTTCGGTGACGGAGAAGACTTGTATCAATCGAATGTGTTGAACACAAAGTATGCCACACATCAATGTTACTGAGTTTCTCTCAAGGTCAATGGGCTCCCTATACAAATCTATAGAGTACCATCGCAAGACCTAGGCTCGGTATACGACTCCAATGAGTACCATCGCTAGACCTACGTCTTATATGCGACTCCAACGAGTACCACCACAAGTATTAGGGTGATCATGATTCATACTCATCCTCAAGATGAGCCTCATCCACAAAAGTCAACAATCTCCCCGTATACGACTTATACGATACTATCACAAGCTTTCTCAATCATTGACTTGGTGATCACTCACTATGAACTATAACAAGAGAATCATAACTTCTCACTTAAACAACAAACATCTATTGATTGGTCCTGGATTCTAACTCTATGCAAGTTCACCTCCCGAATACCAAATGACATTGACAACTCATAGGTCACGGAGTCTGACTCCACACAAGTCTGGAATGACATCATACGATTCATATGCCTATGGATCCAACATATTACAATCTAAATTAGATGACCCCAAATGAAAGCCAACCCTCTCAAAGTATGTAATTCTCAACACTGAGTAATTTAAACCGAACAAATGTCCCCAAATTCAAATGGGCCAAAACAAGCCAATAACTCCACACTTATTTAACTACTCAAATAAAAGTCAACATAAGCAATAAAAACACATTTAACCAATGTTTATGAAAACACATGCTCCAAGAGTATTATTAACTCAAAAATTCATCCTTGGTTGAGACATATCATTTTCCAAATGAAATAATATCTTTTATATTTTCCAAAATGCCTCACAAGACGGTACATTTTCCAAACGATTTATAAACCGTATACCAAAAGTGTATTAAAGCCAAATAATCTTCATTTACATCTTAAATCATTAAATGAACACACTCTTATCAAAATGTCTAAAAACCCAAAATATAGGCATTTAACAAGATTTATATAATCAAATGTACCAAAGATGTAAATCTTATAAGATAATCATCATATTTGATAAATATCTAGAAAACATCTT